TAGGCAGCAAGAGATAGTAGAAGTCTACTATTCACATTGCGTTGGTCCTACAAGGCTCAGAGTGGATAGAATCTTGTCTGTGATGTTCCAGTGGCACCGGCAGCTAAGAGACCCCAGAAATCATCCTGTCCTGGGTTTTATGCGCCGGGCAGGAATTGCAGTTTCTAGGGGGCATGGGAACAGAGCCTCTCCTTATCTCAGGATGTTTTATTCCCAGCCCATTCTGCAGTTGTTCTTGACAACAACAAGCAGAAGGGGGGGGGGTTGGTAACCTGGCTTGATCCAAGGACGCCTGAACTGTCCTGCACCCTCCACATGTTTCCCTTTGTATCACTGCCCTGACTCACAAATTCCAAGTACATCGTGATTCTCAAACTCTTATCTCTTGTCTCCTCAATTCAGCAAGACTTTGTACTTTGCTTAGGCTCTATCTTCATCCATTCCAGTCTTAAACGTGTGCCTGGGCAGAAAGCCAGGGTAAACCCAGCGCTCACGTCATGTGTTTCTCTTCTTACCTGTTCCCAGGCCCTGTGGCCAGTTGTACTCTGCTTGAAAATTACTGCCTCCATATTTTGTCCAGGTTTAGAGTTATTTATTGTTGGAGGACAAGTCTGATTCCTGTTACTCTGTCACAACTCTCCTCTTCTTTATAATTTAATAGTAATACTTTCTTTTATTTAAGGTAGGACTCTATAGATTAAATACCAAATCAAATACTGTCTACCTTTTAAATTGCTGGTCCCTGGTACCTAGAACAGTGTCTGGAACACAGCATGCAGTAAAATTTTTTCAATGAATTAATGATCTTTTCAGTGACAAGTTCAGGAAACTGAACAAATGTAATAAGGAATAAACAAATGTAATAAGATAGGTGACCAAAGTTAGGAATACACTATCGAATTAAGAATATTCTTGAATAACTCATAGTGATATCTAAGAGAGTCAGCAGTGTACCTCCAGAAGAGTTCGCCGGCTTGTCTGAAGTCATATAAACTGACATCTAACGCAAACTTCAGCCTTGCAAGTTCTCAAAATTTATGTTGTCATCTCATTAGCGTGCTAAGAAGGACCGAAATCCCAGTAGAAGGCTCACATTGGCAAAACTCATGAGGCTGAGTTCCAACCTAATAATATATTAATAGATTCAGAAATAAAACTGTCACTGGTAGCCATTTCTCTACCTTTTCATATGCCCAAAGAAGCCAAATCATAATAAAAAATTTAATTGTGAAGGATGAAATTAGAATATTAATTAAACATTTAATGGCATCTGGCTAAGATAAAGATCAACTTATTAAATGAACTGGTATAATTTTTATTACATATACTTGTCCATATTTACAATAGGACAGGGTTTTTTGAGTTTTTGTGTCATTTTCTGCTTTTTAATGTTTGCTGGCTCTGATTGTGAGTTTCTTTTGTAAAGATAGATCTGATGTTTCACTTAAAATACAAAGCATTTTCTGAAACTATTTCATGTTTTTTAAATGAAATTATATATTTTTATATCAATTCAATTATATATTGATTATTTCTTTTAATAAATAATTTTGAATGATTTCTTCATGCTGTGTACTGGGGATTTGGTGGCAAATTGAACAATGGTCTCTATCTTATGAATCTCACAGTGTAGCATGGGAAACAAAAGTTAACAGGCACCCAATAGGATATTTTAAATGTTACTCAGTGTACTAGGAAGCCGTATCTGAAGGACACCTAGCTTATTCTTGAGGGATTGGCAAAGTCTTTGCAGACAAGATGACCTGTGATGTAAACCTCAATGGACATGGACGGTAAGGATTAGGTTAACGAAATTACTTTGATGAGATTAGAGTAGGAAGGGAAAAGTGTATTGAACAGGAGCTAAAGCTAAGTAAGAGATGCAGGATCATGGCATGTGCACGGAACTATGTGTGTTTCTCTGTGACTAGAACTTAGAGTGTAAAAAAGATAGTGAGAAGAGATGAAGGGCATGATTGCAAAATTTAACCAGTGAATAATCACAATGAAATTTGTACTGTAGAAAGATACATACTGACTAGAGGGTGTATAATAAACTAAGAGGTTAGAGGTAGAAAAATCAAGAGAAATCTGAAGTCAGAGTCACCAGTTAGGAGGTTCTAATAATAATCTACATGACATAATTCTGGTCTGAATAAAAGGGATTACAGATTGTATAAAAAGAAAAAGACAGATGTAGGATATATGAAAGAAGTAAAATTGAGAACATTTGATTATCAACTGTGTGTGAGGTGTGAGGGAAATTGGGCATCCCTGAGGATAAGTGCCAAGGTTCTGGTTTAAGTCCCTGAGTTGATGGTACCATTGAATAGGAAACATATGCAGGGAGGATCTTGGATGAAGATGATAAACGCAGCTGTGCCATGACTATTTTGATGGGAAAGTCAATGGCGATGTTTCCCACATGTTGGTTGATGTGAGCTAGTAGCTCAGGAAAGAGGCTGGAGATGAGTTGTGAGAATCATCAGCATATTGATTGTATTTGGGGGTTGCAGTGATTTTCCAGGACATGGAATTTAAGGGAAGGATGAAAAAGGATGAGCTGAGAAGAAATTGGAGATGCAATAGTCAGATGTACAAGGAAACTCAGGAGTTTAGGTGCCATCAAAGAGAATTACAGACAAATCTTTACCATGCCTACTGTTGTAAACAGATAAAGTAACATATGGACTGAAAAAAAAAGTTCACTGAATATAACATTAAGTCAATTTGGAAAAAATAAGTTAAGTAAAATGTTGAATAAAACCATATTTAGTGTGTTGGGAAATAAATGAGGTAGAGGAGATTAAGAGATCAAGTGTAGGAAACTTATAGACTTGATATCTGTAAGAAGAAAAGATATGAGTCAGTAGCTAGAGGAATATTTGAAGTCAAGAGAAGATTTTTCTTTTAATGATTGCTTGTAATGAAATTAAAATCTTTTAATGATACCAACATTCAACTCAGAAAACTATTATTTTCTAAAATTGTTTGTAATGCTTCATTTTGTCTCCAGGTGCCAACAATATGTATAAAATACAGTTGGGAGTAAGGAAAAAGGAGTTCAGGAAAGATTGCTAAAAATTATTTAAATCCAACTAAAGGGCAATTTCCTCTGAGAAAGTTTATTTGAAAAATCCATTAGAAATATATTTCCCTTCGCTCATGCTTTTGCAACACAACTACCATACAACAAAGCCATTTCACTTCTTGGGACTTAACCCAGAGAAATGAAGACTTACATTTACATAAAAAAGTCCTACACATAAATTTCCATAGCAGCTTTATTTATAATGACCAAAAAATAATAAAAAGCTAGAAATAGCATGTATGTTCTTCAATGGATGCCTGATTAAACAAATGGTAGTATATCCCTATCATTACCATGGTGTATTAATATAATATAGCAATGAATAGAAACAAACTGTTGATAAATGCATCAACCTGGATGAATCTCCAGAGAATTATGCTGTGTGAAAAGTTATCCCTAATAATATTTACTATGTGATTTCATTTATATAGTATTCTTGAATTGACAAAAATTATAGCAATGAAGGACAGACTAGTGGTTCTTAGGGTTAAGGAGGAGTTAAGTGTGGGAGACATATGAATATGGTTATAAAAGGGCAACATGGGTTATACTTATTCTATATCTTGATCAACTAATGTCATTTCCTAGTTGTGATATTTCAGTATAGTTTTTCAAGTTGTTAGATTGCTGGAAACTGGAAAAAAGGATACATGGGGATCTCTCTCTATTATTTCCTATAAGTACATGTGACTATAATTTTATCAAAATAAAGAAGTTTAATTTTTAAAATGCCTATAAGCCAAAACAAAAATCTACAATGTCAAAAGTAGTTGATAGAGCTTTAGTATTGAAGTCAGATTTTCTTAGATTTGATCCAAAGTCTGCCACTTTTTTAGCTATGTAAACTTTATCTTGCCGAGCCTTCAATAACCGAAAATCATCAAGATCATCATTATCACCATCACAACCACCACCACTGAAATTCTTATGGAGTTCTTACTATTTGCCCGTCACTGTTCTAAACACTTTGCATATTTTAACACATTTAATGCTCTAAACAGCCCTATCAGGTAGGTATCATTATTATTTTAATTTTAAGGCACAGAAAGGAAAAGTAATTCACTCAGGGCCACATAATAACTAGATGAACATGAATTTAAGCCCAGGTAGTCTTCCAAAAGATGTGCTACCTGCCCCTAACATTTAATGGCACTCAAGACATAAGTGAAAAAAAAAAGGCCTCATACTATATGTCTAAATGTTCAGGAGTTATAGATCAAGCTAACAACTGTTTAAATATATATATTTAATCCTTCTACTTTGACAAATACACTTTGTAAACCACTTGGAAGATTACATTCGAATTTAAAATCCTCAGTATGTTCCATGCTATACATACGGCCTTTCTTTCTCTTCCCCCCTGTGATTTGGTTCTACAAGAGGCCTCCTCGTGGCTTTGGGTAGACACTCCAGGCTGAAAATTAAAGCCCTGTCCACACTCAGGCCTAAGGGTATGAGTAGCAGTGAGTCAGTGCACTTTTGATGAATGGACTTGGGAAAGAGGTCTCTGTGAACTCGGGAAACATGGAGCTTTGGGGCAGAGAATCCCAGAACCCTGAGTAGCAGAAGCATGGTCTAGAGGTAGAGGGGAGAGGTTCCGAGGGCAATGGCTTCTTGGCTGTGTGGAATAACCCCTCACACTCTGGAATGGGCATGGATAAAAGAGACATAAAGCGAGGTCCGCACTAGGGGTCCTCTTACTCTTAGGTCTAAATGTGACACTGGCCTTATTTCAACAGAAATAATACCTTTCATAGTTGTGAAAACTATGTGAAGTCCATCATGTGTATTGTGAATGATATGTGCCATGTGTTGCGTTAGATGGAAGACATAGTTTTCTGTTACTATTTGCAGTGATATTTTAATATCGAATAGTATATTTTACAGTTATTATTTATTTTCATGGTAGATGGACTGGAGGCTTTTACCAGATTTCTTAAAACTGAATTCAGTGAGGAAAACATTGAATTTTGGAAAGCCTGTGAAGATTTCAAGAAAAGCCAGGAACCTCAACAAATTATCCTTAAAGCAAAAGCAATCTATGAGAAATTTATACAGAATGATGCTCCACAAGAGGTACAGTAAAGATGATTGTAAAAATTTATAACTGTTTGAAAAATTTTTTAAGGTAATAAGAATTTCATTTTTAAGTATGTGAATGTTATTTTTCCAAATTTATTTTATAAATTGTATTTATAATTGACATATAGTAATTGTCCCTGCTTAGGGGATACAGTGTCTACTGTTATGGGGTACATTGTATAATGATCAAATCAGGGTAGTTAGCATATGTATCACCTCAAAAATTTATCATTGCTTTGGTGGTGATAACATTCAATATCTACTTTTCAAGCTATCTTAAAATATACAATACACTCATGCCTGTAATCCTAGCACTCTGGGAGGCCGAGGCAAGTGGATTGTTTGAGCTCAGGAGTTTGAAACCAGCCTGAGCAAGAGCGAGACCCCGTCTCTACTAAAAATAGAAAGAAATTAATCGGACAACTAAAAATATATTGAAAAAAATTAGCCAGGCATGGTGGCGCGTGCCTGTAGTCCCAGCTACTCGGGAGGCTGAGGCAGGAGGATTGCTTGAGCCCAGGAGTTTGAGGTTGCCGTGAGCTAGGATGACGCCACGGCACTCTAGCCCGGGCAACACAGTGAGACTCTGTCTCAAAAAAAAAAAATACAATACATTATTATTAGCTATATTCATCCAACCACATTATGTAACTCCAAAACTTATTCTTCCTAATTATAACTTTGTGCCCATTGACTAACCTTTCCCCCATCCCTCTACCTCCTCCCCAGCTTCCGCTAACCACTGTTCTACTCTCTGCTTCTATGAGATCAACCTTTTTAGATTTCATATGAGTGAGGTCACACAGTATTTGTAGCTCTACTCCTGGCTTATTTCGCTTAATGCCCTCCAGGTTTATCCATGTTGCTACAGATGATAGCATTTGGTGTTTTTAATAGCTGAATAGTGTTACATTATGTATATATACCACATTTTTTTAATTCATTCATCCTTTGGTGGACATTGAGATTGATTCCATCTCTTGGCTATTTTGAATAGTGCTGCTATGAACATGGGCGTGTAGATATCTCTTCAACATACTGTTTAGATATATAGCCAGTAGTAGAATTGTTGGATCATCTGGTAGTCCTATTTTCATATGGTAGTCCTATTTTTATTTTTTTAGGAACCTTCATACTGTTTCCCATAATGGCTGTACTAATTTACAATCCCACCAACGGTGTATAAAAGTTCCCCTTTCTCTACATCGCTGCCAGTATTTGTTATTTTTTGTCTTCTTGATAATAGCCATTCTGACTGGGGTAAGGTGGTATCTCATTGTGGTTTTGATTTGCATTTTCCTGATGGTTAGTGACGTTGAGGATTTTTGTCAATATGGCATTTTGCCATTTGCATTTCTACTTTTGAGAAATGTCTATTCAGGTCTAAATTTTTGAGACAATCTACCTTCATCAAATCAATACCCCCATACATTCAACCAGAAAGTTTAGGATTTTGCTGATGCAAAAATGGTTGTTTATATAGATTTTTACATGTATATAAACACAATACATTGTAAGATGTTATTATGAAATGAAAGGTTTACTTGAAGTCACTCCTCGGAGTTATTTTCATTTGAGACTAAGAGTGAATGCAATTAATTGCAAAGTTTAAATTCATTCACTTATCCATATTAATCACCTTAGCACAAGCAACCTCACGTAGAAACTAAAGATTTCTATACATGATGAAAGGCAAAAGATTTCAAGAAGTCTGTATCATGTACCATTTTTATTTTAGCTCATCTACCTATACACAGTTTTATTTGCCCAAAAGTGTTATACCTCTACTTTAACATAGGTTAAAAGAAAAATCTCATAATGGAAAGATGAGGTAAACCTACCTGGGCAATGGTTCGAGTAAAAAAAAAAAAAAAAATAGTGGTTTTCTTTGACCCCAAACTCAATATGAGGTAATTGTGTGATGCAATGGTTGAAATGGTTATAAGACTAGCAAATATTACTTGACTGTCCTCATATGTTAATTAAATAGAGTGTCTGTGCTCCTATTACATGGTCCAAAAATAGTGCTTCTTCACTGAGGTAGTAGAACTGGTAGTCTGTCACTGTTAAGAGTTTTATTTGACTCTAAATTAGTACTGTCCACAGGGTAGAAGTGGCTATGTGGATATCTTTCCACAAAAAATGGTCATTTTTCTTGTTTCAATGTTTCAGTCTGTTTTTTTCTAAATGTATGGTTCTGTCTTCCCCAAACCCAACCTTATACATAGATTAAAAACAAAAGGCAGCTAGTTGTATGTCTTATCCATAAGGGGTAAGAAAAGGCCCCTACGTGAAAACACACCCCCATCAGAATCTGATATTTCAGCAGTGCTATAATACAAGCCATTAAAGAATTTTATCTGTAAAAGACATTCATGCTTTAGCACAGGTTTGCTTACAGGAAAGAATCATAACATAATGAAATGAGCACTGGGATAAATAGAAGCCCCATATTGAAATCCCAAATATGCTCCAAGCTCTTTGTTTCCCATAGCCCAAATAATTTAACCTCTGTGAAGTCTAGTTCCCATTTTGAAAATGAGTGAGTTAACCTAATGATCTCTATGATACTTACCATTGCAATATTCCATTATTCTAAATTAGCAGAGAGTAAGAAGGACCAGGAGCATAGGAAGAGAAGAAAGAGCCAGATAAAATGCTAATCCAGAATAGATCATTGGATCCCTAGACGCATAAGAGGACCCAAGCATCCAGTACACTATGCCCCTTCCGACATTGTGTCAGTCCTATACTGACAATAATTACACATTTTTTTCTGTTTATCCAGGTTAACCTTGATTTTCACACCAAAGAAATCATTACTAAGAGTATCACCCAACCCACGCTCCACAGTTTCGATGCTGCACAAAGCAGAGTGTATCAGCTCATGGAACAAGACAGTTACACACGTTTCCTGAAATCTGACATCTATTTAGACCTGATAGAAGGAAGACCTCAGAGACCAACAAATCTTAGGAGACGATCACGCTCATTTACTTGCAATGAATTCCAAGATGTAAAATCAGATGTTGCCATTTGGTTGTAAAGAAATTGATTTTGTTCATTTTGATGACAAACTTGTACATCTGCTTCTAACATATAGCATGTTTATGTTAAGGAATGGTTACATCTTTTTTAAAATAAACTACATCATCTGAAAGGATTTTAAAAATGTAAATCAAAACTTTTTGCTAACAAAATACACACTGTATCTGCCAATATATTCTGTACAAACCTTTCATTTGACATCATTCCATTCATAATCAGAAAAACTTTTTTCTTAATTAAAAGGCAGTAGAGAAGTAATAAAAATGTTTTATAAGGTTGTGGAATTAAATAAAGGCTAAACTTTTGCAAAAGTGTCAATGGTTTGATCAAATATCTAGTTTGGATTTTTTTCTAGATGTAAATAGCATTAATATTCAGATATCCATATGTCCAGACAGCATTTTCCATAATGATGCATATTCTCTTTCTCTCAGTAATAGTGTAGGAATGATCTAGTTCTTACAATGGGAGAAGATGAACATGTGTTTTTGGGTTACTTACCCTGGCTCAAGAATAGTGATGTATCATTTCTAGTTACAAGTCAGCAACAGAAGCCTTTTTGAAAACACATTCATGTCTACAGAACTCTTGGGTTCAAAATAACCTAGGTTGATGAGTGACAATGAGATCCACATTTGGACTCATTCCTGCATGGGTTTTACCCAGTTATATGGAGCACTACTGGCCACAGAAACATGACCAGATTATACATAGTTCCAGGTTGGGACTGAGTGGATTATCTTCTCTCTGGCTAAGAGATCTTGCTACTAAAATATTAGGCAATCAGTAATTCAAATGATGACCAGAGGAGGCTTTACTCAGGAGTAATTAGGTCTCATGTTTGGATTTTTAGGGCTGCAGTAGAAATTAGAAATGAGAGGAGGTGAAGAAGCAGGGTGCTTAAGGCCCCGGCGATTTGGGCATCTGCCACATTGGTTCCCATTCAGAAAGTGTTCTCCCATCGATTACATTCTTGTTACAATCTCATTTAATACTATTTTATTCAAATAAGATGATACAAATAAGTATATATGTCTCTATTTTAGGGAAATATTTAATTTTAAATGTGGATTACCTGGTCTGTAAATTATCTGTATTTAAAGATGTCATAAATTTGGCTTTGGGAACTGTTATAATTTTAGTTGAAATGTAAAATATAATAACTTTAGATCTTCCATAGTAATAAATACTTTAAATTTTCTCATTCATAGAGCTAAGTTTATTTAACCAGTAAAAGCTCTCAATGACTATTGATTACCCTTCCTGTTATCAAATAAGAAATAAATACATTTTCTTATTTTAGAATGATACTGAGATAGAAAGTATTAATTGAGGTATTGTGTCACTGATCTTAATGCTAAATCAGTTCTTGATACCTTTTTGAATGTGAAAACAAAATATGCATTTCAAGATCAACTAAGAAAGTGATTTTAAATTTTTCTTTGATTTCTATTTGCTTTTTCTGTGAAAGTCTCTTTTCGTAGAATTTGATTGTTTCATACACAGAGTTAAGACTTGATACGAGCTTTCTGATTTCATCAGAAAAATCATGTGCTTATTTTAATAGCATTTTCTGGTATCACAAATATGTATTATATAGCTTTCCATTTGTAATATTTTTCAAGAGCATCTAATCTCTTGATTAAATTATGAAACATTCAGTGAGACAATTCAAATTCATAGCAGGACTTCATGATGAAGTTAATGCCTACCTTCAAACAGCTTGCGCTTTGTGGAGAAAAATAGCACGGACAAATGCAGAAAACAAAAGTAATTGGAAAAGCGAAAGAAGTAAACTTGTACGGCAGCACTGTATGTTAGCTGAAAGAATGACAAAATTCATAAATGGAGACTCGACGTGAGAGCCCCAAGGCCTGGGCTCCCACTGGATGTCGATCCTCAGAAATATGCAACTCCTGGGGACCCGCGCCCTCCATGTCGTTTTTAAACATAGGGACGCGGGATGTCTAATTTCTGGTGCCCTTTACGGTCTCCATATTCACTGATTCTAAGTAAATCACCCGATATTCTTCAAAGCACCTCCTGATTGGTGGCCAAGCAAGGACAAGAGGCAAATAAGTATAATTAATGAAGGGAAAGAAACTTCAGACTAAAAATTAATATGGGACGTTGGTCTAAGAATAGGGAATAATTTTATAGGAAACTTAGAAATACATGAAAGGAAAGAAGCCACAGGAAATATAGCTGGATTTTTTTTTTTTATTTCAGCATATTATGGGGGTACAGATGTTTAGGTTACGTATGTTGCCCTTGCCCCCCCCCC